GTGGTCTTCATAAAACGAGATTGGAAAAATCATCCATCCATCCAGTTTCCGATCTGCTTGATTCTCACAAGGGTCCCGGGGCGTGCTGGAGCCTATCCCAGCTGCCTCCGGGGACACGCTGAACCGGTTGCCAGCCAATCACAGGGCAGACAGAGACGAACAACCATCGGCGCTCACACTCACACGTAGGGACAATTTGGAGTGTTCAATCAGCCCGCCATGCATGTTTTTGGAATGTGGGAAGGAAAGCGGAGTACCCGGAGAAAACCCACCCAGGCACGGGGAGAACATGCAAGCTCCACACAGGGAGGCCGGAGCCGGGATCGAACCCACAACCACTACACTGTGAAATCGATGCATTAACCACTTGCTCACCGGGCCACCTTCAAGCCGTTCTTTATTGCTCTTGGATACTGTGGGTGTGTCCATTGAACAGGCTGAGACCACGCCCCATTCAGCTGTCAAGTGTCAATCACAAACCGTTTGGTACTACATATTTGCAGTGAAAATAGACTTGGTTAAAGCCTCTGCAGGGTGGAATATATCCCGGGCCGCTGTGGAGCTTTTCCACGGCGTGACTACGAGGCACTCTAAAGCGGCCACACCACCGGTCGATCCAAAGGGTGGAGGCATCGCAAGCAAGCTAAATGTACATTGTCAAACTTTTAAGAAATAAAAATATGAAGGATCTAAAAAAATAATTTTTATTAAAAAAATATAAAAAGGAAGCTGAAAGAAAAAAAGAAAATAAAAAGCGGAACCCAAAAACGACTTTGAGCTGCGCTGCCGAGACACACGATATTGAAGGAGAACAAAAGACTGTTGGAAATGTTGGTATGGAATATTTCCAAAACATTTTAAATGCCGCTTGGCACTTTTGACAACGTCGAAGGCCTTGACGGCACACCACCGACGACGAAATGTCATTTGAACCAACATGTTGATTCCAAAGTGTGGACCAAACTGGGCGCCCAATAATGAAGTAGCTGTCACTTTCAAAAAGGTTGCTGACCCTTGACCCTGGAAAAAAAAGTGGCCATACACAATCTAATGCTGTGGCGATTGGCTGTACAGTACAATGAGACGATAATAACAACAACAACAAACAAAACGGTTTGAAAAGTCTTGTCGTGTCTCAAAGCCTCTAATTAATGCAACGATTGCCCTATAAAGGCTGACGGGCATCTGCACGTCTGCGTGCGCACGTGCGTCTGAGTCTTGTGGATGCTGTGAACCACCCAGGAGACCCCCAATCGTGAGCGCAAGCAGGGAGAGTGACTAACTTCACTCTTTCTTTTCTTCTCAGCCCCAGCTGCGTCTTCAAACGGCCTTTTCATGTGGCCAACTAGAAAGAACCACTCAGTGTGTCAATATCATCTGCCCTCATTTTCTTCGACGCCGTTGACCTGAGAAAAAAAAAAAAAAAAAAAAAAGCCTGTGACCCTTTCATCCGGTTAGCGTGCGTAGGCCCGTGACCGCCGCACGGGCAACTCGGCATCTGTGAAAGAAAGTCCTATTGTGCCCGTCGCCAGTTATTATCACGAGTGAGTGTTTTTCCTTCGAAACGCTTTCTTCATTCTCCCTGTTTTCTTTCCCTGTGAGTGTTTGTGGGCATTTCCTCGTAGGTAGTGAATACACTCTGATGCATGAGCCCTCTGGCATGACTGGAAAGTCATTCCTGCCCTTTTGCAACACTGGGTCACGCTTTACTGCACCTGACTGAATCTTTCCAGTCAGACCAACTCAGCTATATATACAGTGTGCGCGCATGTGTGTGTGTGTGTGTGCGTGTCTGTGTGTGTGTGTTTCGCGACAATGCATGAAACATAACACGTGCGCAGTAGGATGGAGGAATTAAAAAAAAAAAAAAAAAAAATCCATCCATTTCAATCGCGATTGTTGTCGCTGGTGAGCTGCGGCATTTCCCAGTTGACTTTGGGCGACCATTCGCGTGAGTGAACCACGACATCGTTAGTGAGGAACCATAATAGCGGTTCTCAAATTACCACCTCAAAAAATGCTTAGCTCTTCAAGTACCGCCATAACCACCGACATTATGTAGGCCAAAGGCAAAGAATAACAAAAAAAAAAATGAACATGTTTTTTTTTTTTTTTTCACTCGAGCACTCGTAAGTCAAAGGAAAAATGCTACGTTTCTCGCATTTAGCCTACAATTACGTTCAAACCTATTTGCCAGTCCAATTATTTTTATTTTTTTACCCCACATTGGCAGTTTCACGCTTCCGTAATGTACCACTCGAGGGAGCCTGCATGCCACTAGTGGGACTCGGAGCACACTTTGAGAATGATTCCAAATACAATGAATTAGGAGTTATGAGTACACTGACGTAAGAGTGCCCTGACATTTATGTTTTCGGTGTTATGGCAATTCAATTAAAGGGGAAGCCGAGTCAAATGTTGTCTTTTCAATCGTATTTTCGGTGCACCCCGACGGGTCTAAACACGGCATTCTGATTATTATTGCCGCTTGGAAAATCAATTAGGCAGCAAAAGCAACCTGCTTTATACATCCCATTTGGTCACTTGCTGTCCACCGAAAATGACGTCACAGTGCCGAGGAGCTCAGCTTGTCACATGACCAAACTCAGGAAACAGGTGAGCCGTGACTGGTCGTCATGTGAGCCCTGAGGATCCAGCGTGAGTATTATTGCAAAGACTATTTTTGACTTGACTTGCCTTTTAAAGTATTGTGATGCCTTTGCATGTGGGCAAGGAGAGCCACAGCCGCCCAGGCATTTTCAATTGTTTATTGGAATGGCACAAGCAGTCAAACAAATGTTAGCTTGAGGGTCCCCTGTCATTGCTTCACTTCATTTCGGTGGGTAAAATTTAAAGGCCTTGAGCATCGGGAACAGTTTTCTTGTGAACGTAAAGGGCGTGAGGTGTGGTCTACAGCAGGTGCATGCGAGCGTTCTCCTTTTGTATTTGTACGGCGGACTGTTTGGTTCAATAAACGGATGAAAGCGCGTCGGCAAAGGCGAGCGATATTTGTCGAAGGATGTTGTGAAAAGTGGGTGCAAAGAAGTGGATGCCTGACCTCATGCCCCGCTCCCCATTTGCACGCCACTGCATAAAGAAACAATTATTTTTAGCAAGCACATGAGTCATTTTGTTCATATTGTAACAGTGCTACAAGGCTAGCAATATGAAGCTTTAATTTGTTCGAAGTGGCAATGTGTTATCACAGTGGAAGCATATAGTAGCCACTCTTCGTAAGCATGTTTTGCACATCTTTCCTCTACCAAGCAGTGTTGAAAAAAAAAAATAATTCAATAGGGAGAAAAGTTGTCAGACGAAAACTACCTTGAACTCATTAAGGAGCTGGAGTCAATCTGGTTCCATCCGTTCACCACACCATTAATTCAAAGTGAACATCCACTCATGCTCCCTGTGAGTGTTCTCATTTTGTACTTTAACGCTTTTTCCCGATTTATCGCGGTTTTACAACGGTGACAGCTCGATGAGGCTTGGTGGCTTGGCTCGGTGGTAGAAAAGCGGCATTAGAAGTGACAGCACATTTGCCATTCATCATTTATTTGATTTGCCCGCTGAAATATTTGAACAATTTCCGATGGGAAAACTTTAAACGATAGTGTGAGGAATCTTGTTTGTGCCTCTGCAAGTCGTGTGTGTATGTACGTTATGTGTATGTTGTCATGTCGTCCTTCGTAACCTCACCGAGTGGGCACCACACCCACAATGTACAAGCGTGCAGTCATGTCCCCCCTCCCCCCCACCAAAAAAAAAAATGCATGGATGTGCATGTGTTCTCACTGTTTCTATGCAACGCGTCTCGGAGGCCCCTTCTGGTCCGGTCCTGGACAACACCTCTCTCTCCTATCCGTCGCTCACTCCTCACTCTTTCCTTCACCCTGGAGAGGGAGGGAGGGAGGCAGAAAGCAAAAATGGGAGGTGGATAGTATGTGTGTGTGGTGGGTGGCGGGGTAAGGGTGTGTGTGTGTGTGGGGGGGGGGCAGTGGAAATAACAGGCTGCTGTCTCAAGAGGGGCAGAAAAAGCGCCAGGGGTGAGGAAAAAGGGGAGAGAAAGGTGTTTGCGGGGCACTGGGAAGCCTTAAAATAAATCCAATAGCATCATTTGAGGGACTGTGAATCATAATAATAATAATAATAATAATAATAATCTCGCCAGACGTGTGCAGATATGAAAGGCACACGACTGATGAGCTGGGCTGATAACACCTAAAGACAATGAGCAAAAAAGGGGGAAGAGATTTGGATTGAGAGATGGCCAGATAAGAAGAGATGCGGACACGATTGGCGCACTGATGCGGCCGCAGGAAGTAGTGCAAGATAGGAACCGGCAGCGATGGGAGGGAGGGGAGAAAGTGATAGAGGAAAGAAAACAAGAAGAAAAAAAAACACAACGGAATCTTTTTTTTTTTTTAAGTTTCGCAAAGAGAGGGAGAGGGGGGAGTAGAGGGGGCAGAAGGGAGGGGAGCGAAAGAGAGAGCGAGAGAGAGAGAGAGAGAGAGAGAGAGAGAGAGAGAGAGAGAGAGAGAGAGAGAGAAAGAGAGAGAGAGAGAGCCCGCGTGTCTGTGTGTGCGTGCGTGTGTGTGTGTGTGTGTGTGTGCGTGTGTGTGTGTGTGTGTGTGTGTGTGTGTGTGTGTGTGTGTGTGTGTGTGTGTGTGTGTGTGTGTTTTTATGAATGAAGTGAGTCACTGCCGATGTGTCATAGGCCCGACGTCTTTATAAAGGAAGTTTTAAACAAGCCTAAACACTTCACTTGCGCGCAAAAATTGGACTTAGCACACATCGCATCCTTCTCTCTGCAGTTCTCTCTCTCTTTCTCTTTCTCTCTCTCTCCTTCTCTACTCTGTCCAAGTGCCTCTCTACCTTACATCTCAAACTTTGCTCCAAACTTACTAAAAAAAAACAACAAAAAAAAAAAACCCAGTTGGACGATATATATTTATATCATTTTTTTTTTAAATTTCCCCCCTAATTCACGTGGTCTTTTGCTCCTCATATGGACTGAAAAGGCGCCAAAGGAGAAAGCCGCCGCAGCACGTGACGCGTCTTGCCGGAGTGACCGGTGATTTATTATTGTTTGGTTTTTCTTTTTATTTATTCGTCTACCTGCTGTTTGGGGTTCCATTCTGTTGGATTCGAACCAATATGAAATGTAAGTGAATGTCTTGAGTGTTTTGTTTGGATTGAAAAAATACATTTGCTGTCATTCACTTGGAATTGGAACCAAAGCTAATGCATGAAAGTCAAGAGTTTCTCATTCAAGAGAAAGTGTGTCCAATTTTTTTTTAACTGCTGCTGGTTGATAGAAAGTCTTTTTGAAGGGGGGGGGGAGGCGTGGGGGTCTAATTTAAAAAGTCTGTTTTAGTGTGCTGAAGCGATTCCAGTTTGGAGGACAGTGAGTTCGCACGCGTGTTATTTTGCCTGTAAATCCTTGCGGTTCACCTGTAATTATCAAGCCTCCAGTAGGGCTTCAGCACCTCTGTGGTCCCCTCCTTTTTAAACGCTTTACACGAGCTTGTATTTGAACTTGAAAGGCGAAAGAATGAATGAGCTTACTGTTTGCCGTGTCTGACTTGGCCCCCGGTCTATATAATTTATAGCGGCAACACACGCGCCTATCCAGTTGCAGGTGTGACAATCAGCCGCATTCATTGCGGAGGCTTTATCCAGGCCAGGAGTGATGCTGATGTGTTTAATGATTTGCCTGTGAAAACATGAATCTGTCACCGAGGCTCAACGCCGGGGCGCCGCGTGCCAAGTCTGCAGCTATTGTTTATATTATGGTGCAATATCTTCCCCCGGAGTTGACAGCGGCAGGCCTGAGGTCACGATCATTACGCCGAGATGACAGCGCCTCTCCGCTAATTGCTTCCGTTTTCTCGGCCCCCCCCTTCCTCGCAGTGCTGCTCGACTCGTCGTCGTCGCTCCTCTTCTCGCTGCTATTGGCCCAGCTGCCCGTCTTCACGTCTGCCTCCCCGGTGCCTCCGCGGCGGACCGGCGACATGGACAGGCTGTCCAACCAGACCAAAAGTCTCATGAAGCTCACGCAGGAACTGCTGGTACGTGTGAAGGGGGCATGGGTGGGTCGGGGGGGTCGCCGTGGGAAATGCGGGGTGGCAAACTCAAAGCCGGCGGGCGAGGTCTGGTCCGCCAAATCGCTTTATGCCTCCTATGAAAGCTTTGCGACAAAATCTCCTCGACAGTTTTCAAAGTCGGCCACGAAGAACGCTAATTATGTAACGCTACGTGATATTTATATTTATATAGAAGAGCACGTGCCAAGCACTCGAGATACAATTCCAATTTGCAGCAGTAAAACAACCTGGCTTGCTCCAAATCATCGTCCCCGACTGAAATGAATGGAATTGCAAGCAATTCGTTCCAGCTCCCTCAGAAATAAACGTACTCATCAGTAAACATGCAGGGAAAAAAAAAACGTGCGCTCCACATAAGCTGCCAAGGCAGAAAAAGACAACTGTACCTCATACACTATCCGCTCTTGTACTTCCTCTGTGGGCCAGGTGGCAAACGAGCTTAATGATCGCCTCCAACCAATATTGCCCTCCCGCTGCAAAGAAACCAATGTGAATGGATGGTGGGCAGATGCTGGAAAGTTTGTCACAAACTTTACAAAAAACAACAATAATAATATAAGCGACGCCTTGTATCACTAAAAAGTCGAAAGCCTTGGAATACTTGTATCTAGAGGTACAAGTGTATTCATGGAAGTTATGGCATAATAATTGAGACTCTTCAAAATGTTACTGATGTGGGGCATGGGTGGGTCGGGGGGGTCGCCGTGGGAAATGCGGGGTGGCAAACTCAAAGCCGGCGGGCGAGGTCTGGTCCGCCAAATCGCTTTATGCCTCCTATGAAAGCTTTGCGACAAAATCTCCTCGACAGTTTTCAAAGTCGGCCACGAAGAACGCTAATTATGTAACGCTACGTGATATTTATATTTATATAGAAGAGCACGTGCCAAGCACTCGAGATACAATTCCAATTTGCAGCAGTAAAACAACCTGGCTTGCTCCAAATCATCGTCCCCGACTGAAATGAATGGAATTGCAAGCAATTCGTTCCAGCTCCCTCAGAAATAAACGTACTCATCAGTAAACATGCAGGGAAAAAAAAAACGTGCGCTCCACATAAGCTGCCAAGGCAGAAAAAGACAACTGTACCTCATACACTATCCGCTCTTGTACTTCCTCTGTGGGCCAGGTGGCAAACGAGCTTAATGATCGCCTCCAACCAATATTGCCCTCCCGCTGCAAAGAAACCAATGTGAATGGATGGTGGGCAGATGCTGGAAAGTTTGTCACAAACTTTACAAAAAACAACAATAATAATATAAGCGACGCCTTGTATCACTAAAAAGTCGAAAGCCTTGGAATACTTGTATCTAGAGGTACAAGTGTATTCATGGAAGTTATGGCATAATAATTGAGACTCTTCAAAATGTTACTGATGTACTTGGCTGCGTCATTTATTCCCTTAAAAAAAAAAAAAAAAACAGAAGATATTGATGCTGCACTTTTCAAAAAATAAATGCTTGAAGCTGTTACCGTTTATACAAAATATATCGTAAGAATTTTGTTTCCAAATGTGAACCGTGAAAACGAAGCTAAAAACTGAACATTCTGGCTCTTCATTTACTCGACAGCCTGAAAAACGCATAAAAGGTTGTTTGGGATTTCGGCTCATATGTAGCGAGAAGAGCAGCATTGTCCTCATCGATCACAATTCTGACAAAAAGTATTCACTTGCGTATCGCAGACAAGCCCATCACGACATCGCCAACTGCTGGCCTGGCATGCATGTTACAGCATTCTCAAAAGTGGCTTCCTGTTCTTGCCCGATTTTTTTCTCTTTGGTCGCCGGCCTTGTGCTTGTGACGGCGCTTGCTAGCGATTGCACCAGAGCTTAATTACCTAATAGCATTAATCAAAGAGCCAGTGTTATCTTCACGTTTGCCCTGCAGCCTTTTTTTTTTTTTTTTTGCATGCTTTGGTGAGCTCAGCTATTACGTGGGACCGCGGTCAGTCTTAAGCTGCTTTTAACCGATGAGCAACTGGCCAGAGTGCACATGCGGGCCTTAAACCAGAGCAGAGATTTGACCGAGTGAACTCACTTTTTGAAAAAAATTCATACGGGCCCACAGAAAGCTGACTCAGCAACCTTATGTCACCTGACTTGCAAGGGAAACTCACGACAAGGGCATAGAAGGGAGAAGAAAACAAAACAAAACAAAAAAAAAAACAGGACAAGACGAGTCAAGCTAGTGGGTTAAAAATTTCTCGCCTCCAGCTCAACTGAACATACCAATCATGAAACAACAACAAACAATACTGAACAAGATGTTTGCATGAAATTATGTTTGGGCTCTGCAGCAAAACTGTGAAAGTGTGATTACAGAGGAGGAAGCTTGATTCCCCCCCCCCCAACACACACACTTCCCCCATCATATTGTACGGACACGTCTGGCTAAAAGCGTCGATTTTGTTGCCTTTCGAGTGGGGAGGATAATGCCGATGTGAGAATGTAGCCAAGACTTGTCCCCAGCTGGTGTTTTGTAACAGGTGAAAATCGTATCTGTGCATCTTCACATGACTGATCCAGATTCGATTTGGTTTGCATTATGCAAAGCCTCCAAAGTCTTTGCGTTCGGGAGATAAAGCCCAAAATAGCCTCATACTCTCTCTAGTCTTGATGAGTTGGGGTGGAGTACAAGTATTCGGTCTGTGTGTGTGTGTGTGTGTGTGTGTGTGTGTGTGTGTGTGTGTGTGTGTGCGTGTGTGTTTGTGTGTTTGAGGCTATCACTGTCGCCATCGTCTCACCTGTGGTTCAGCTCTGCAAAACACACACACACACACACACACACACACACACACACACACACACGCACACACACACACACACACACACACACATCAAGGGGCATTGGGGACAGTATTTGACAGTGTTCAGTAACATGGAAGATGTCTTTTTTTTTTCTTATTGTGTGGAATTTTTGCTAAAAAGAGGACGCCGTTCGGAAAGATAAATAGAATAGGAATCCGTGGAAAGTCCCGGCAAGAGCAGCAATGAAAGTGATGCTTTTAAAAGAGGAGCCGGAGCGCATACGTACACGTTTATGTAAGTTGTTTTTTTTTTTTTTTTTTTTTTGCGACAAAAAAACATGTAAACGTGGCCAAGTGTGTCTGTCCGGCGGCAAAGATACATGTGTGCAATTTTTTGCGGTCCGCTGCCTGGGTGCCCGTTTTGTGGTTTCTGTAAATAGTCACGGTGGTGTAGGTGTGCGGTGTTTAGTGTTTTACTTTTAGTCGCCACGGCAAAGTGGCTTGATAAAAATCGAGAAAGATTTATCACATTCCTGTATATTTGCATTCAGGAAGACAGAGGCTGGATGCTAAGTTTTGCCGGGTGATGTCATGAGCCGCAATGGAGGGAGCAAGACAAGGGAGGAATAAGAGGGCGAATTAAAAGGGCTGAGGAAGATGGAGCTAAAACCGCAGGAGATGAAGAGATCAGGCGGCCCCGAGTGGTGTGTGTGTGCGTGCGCGTGCGTGTGCGAGTGCGCGTACCTGGTCTGAACGACGGATGCGAAGGGACAACAAAGCTGCCGAGACAAAACACCAAACCGCAACCTAAGTGAGCGCTTCTAAAGTGACACAGTGCGGCACATTCGTGACTAAAAAAACGTCAACACAAAGCCAAAAACAAAAACGCAGCAGGGGCGAAACGCTGCAAAACAGTTGAAGGAAACATCAGGCCCAGACAACATGTTTGCACAAAGCATCCTAGAAGACTAATCACGTTAATGTTGTTATGTTCCTCTCCGGGGAATGACGCATGCCGCGTCACTCATTTACATTCATTTGTCAATCTGGCAACATGGCTCTTGCTCAGCTTTGTACCGCAGTGCTCCAAGTGGCATACGAGTGCCCCCCCACCACCACCATCACGCCCGACGCACAAAATACAAAACGAAAAAACTCACAGGGAGCTGCTGTAAGCCACCGCTGACGCCCAGGCGCTCACGCGCAGACTAACCGACTCCAGATCCTGTCGTCACTCACCAAGCCACACTTCTTCAAGGCACGCATCCAACACACAAATACAACAGTGGGTAGCGTTCGTGCACTTCAGAAAACCCCTCTTGAGAATTTGAAAAAAGGTGAATTGATTTGCTGGGCGATTCAGTTACAAACTTGGTCAAGGAACAAATTGCAGGTATGCAGTCGCGCTAATTCACAGATATTTTTATTTTTTTTGCACACTTAATCATTCAATTTTGATCTCACTCTGTTAGATTCGTGTGTAATTCTGCCGCCGACCACTAGATACCACCACACTTTCGTTTGGTGTATTTCAGCGGCCACCTGGTTTTTGTTGAAAATTATTGAACGCACTCTGCTTTGAAATTGCTTTTTTGCGGCTACAGAAAGTCGAGGTTCATTTCGGGGCATGTTTACCGAGGTATATTTTTTGATGAGAAGTGAAGTTTATTCGTTTGGGAAAAAACAGGATTTGTGATCGCACATTGTCAGACCGTTTCTGTCCTTTTGTTGGTGTTATCCATTGCGCGTGCTCTCTTTTCACGTATTTAAAAGTGTGTATGAAGTGTTCCATAAATACTATAAAAACATGCCAACAGAATCTTTGAATGGGGTTATTCTATATCGTGGATTTCACTTATTGGAGGCGGGCGGGAGGGGGGGGGGCAGGTTGTGTTACTGTCATGTTAGCACTGGACTGACGCTTTCCCGACTGAGCTCGATTCACTTGCCCGCATACCGTTTAGCCCCCCCTGGCGGCCCCGACGGGAAGTACACCAGAGTGAGAACAGACGTAGATGACAACACAAGCCGGAGCCGGCGCAGTGGGCAGCGCTGCGTCATTGCATCTTTTTATAGTGAGCCTGGAGTTTCCCTTCAGCTGTGTGCTGTCGCTGCTCGCTGCCTTCTTGGTCACGGCACAAAACATCCTGTGGGTTCAGGTCATTTTGCTCGCATTGTTGACATTTGCCAGAGCTGGGGAAAAGTCCTCGCACTGTAGAAATACAGATTTTAAAAAAAAAAAATGTGTTTAGGTAAAAGGTGAAATACTTATTGAACTGCTTTCCCCTGTCAAGTGAACTTGCAGATTTGCGCACGCTCAGCGGCCACGCCCACAGCATTTGAGAGTTGGCGACAATGGCTTCATTTTGGGGCCTGATTTCATGTACTTTGATTGTTTTCAACCTTTTAATTTAGGTGCACTGTAAAAAAACTCTGGTGTGTGAAATTGACGGACTTTTTCAAGTACGAGTAAAAAAAAAATTACAGCCTCTACAAAATATTTTTTTTAATAACCGGCAACAAAAAAAATTCCCTTGCCATCCCTGTTTGTCACCCTTATAGGACATATTTTACTTTATTTTTTTATGTCAATAGCAACCTAGTTTGTCAACGTAAGGACCAAAAGTTTTTTCAAATGTTGGGTGTAAACGTAGAAAAGTGGCCAGCAAAATAAAAAGTCATGCAGAGTAGAGATAGGTGGAAAAAATTAAAAGTCGACAGTAACTAAGCTGCTTGTTACTTCCCACCGCTGACATTTGGGGGAGGTTGAGTGCGAGTGAACTCGCACTGACCCCGACCGACCGCACGTCCCTCGGCGAGCGCTACTGTCTGAAAGCGCCGCAAACAAAGCGTCTCCTGGCTAACGTTGTCACACGACTAATACTTTCCTCATGCTGCCGTGACTTGTCTGAGGGATGAGCGCAAGTGTGCTGATGCAAGATAGTGACGAGCCGCCGTGTGTTTGTGTCTTGTTTTCTCCTTCAGAGGGAGCACGCCTTCGAATCTGACGTGGAGCCCCACAGGTTCAGGTCCCTGCCAGAAATGAGCAACAGATCGGCCAATGATCTCAACAACCTTGAGGTAATGCCCCCGATAATCTGTTTCTTCTGGGGGCCGTGTCTGCGTGCGCGTGCATGAGACACATAGAGAGAGAGAGAGAAGCCGGGCTGTTTTCTTCGTCTTCCTCACGCGCATTTACAGCACATCTTGCCACACCCATGCTCAGTCTGTAAAGTTGCTTTTTTTTTCCCCTCCCCCCTCAGCTGAAGCCCACACTCTCCCAACTGCACGCCGACCTGAAGCTCTACGAGCACCACTTTGAGTGGCTCAACAGGGTGTCCAAGAAGCACCACCACCCGGCGCTGCCCAAGCTGGTGGAGGTGATCAAGGAGATGAAGTCGCTCATCAATCTCCTGCACCGTCAGGTGAGCAGATCAGCTAACACCTCGTTTTGAGTGCGTTGAAGCAGTTAAAAGCCATCCATCCAATTTTTTTTTTTTTTATAACGTGGGTGGGTGTAATGAGCCTATCCCAGCTGACTTATGGCCCTTTTCCGCTGCACGGTCCCTCGGCTCGCTCTACTTTTGAAACTTTTCCATTGGCAAAAAAACAGAAGTCATCCCAATGGACCGAACCCCGACGCAAACAGCAGAAAGCCTGCGAGTAGTTGACGTCGCCCCCCCGCTTCCCCACTCCCTCACCATTTGCCTAAAGATGCCCAAAAAAGTAGCACCCAAGCACTACGTTTGTACTAGCCAAGGCTTTGTCTTGTAAAATACTGAAGAAGTTCCTAGAAGGAACAAGATGGTGCCAAAACCTTTTTTAGGATAAAAGTAGTGCTTAAGCGCCATTCAAGACTCCCCCTGTACATGGTAGTGCAGTGAACCCCCGTATATTTGCAATTTACAATTTGAGAACTCGAGAAATCTAGTTTCGTAATCACCATAAGATGCCACAAGAAGGCGGCAAAGCACTTCGAAGAGGGACATGAAAATGTTCTTGAAGCCAGTCCCCTCACTTCGACATAATCTTTGGTCACAAGATGGTGCCAAATCACTATTTTTTATATTAGATAGGGTTTTGGCCTGAGCACAAAAAGAGTGATGGGGTGATTTTTGTTTTTCTTAATCAAATAAAGCAAGATAGGTTTCCCTAATGAGCAAATTCTGAAGTCCAAATATACAGCGGTGGTTGTCTGTTTATGCCAGAGCTCCGTTCCTACGGGGGCCACATAACTTGAATTTGTAATACAGCAGTAAAGTCCTAATTACGGCAAATATTTGTATGAAAAAAAACAAACAAACGTACTAGTTCTAGTACCGAGCTGACCCCATATGGCTGACGTTAACCACTGTCGCATTTGCCAATACGTAGCTGACCACACGGTGGCCGAGTAGTTAGCATGGTGGTTAGCTTCTGCGAAAGTGACGTTTTTATGGACACGTGAGTAAGAGAAGCCCTCGTTGATCCTCGCCAACAGATGCAGAGGGTGGACGCACCGAAGCTGACCCCCGCCACGCCCTCCCTGCCGCCGCACCTCCCTTACCAGTTTGACGTGCTGCAGTCCAGCCAGGAGCTCCTGCACCACTTCAAGCTTTTCTGCGATTGGGCAATCCGAGCGTTCATTAGCCTCAAGCCAAAGATCACACCGGCTCAATGAGAATTCATCCGAGCGGCACCGCACGGAGTCCCGTCTCGGGCGATGATGGGGAAGGGGGATCTCGTCGCCGCACACTGTCGTCAACGGCATCCCAAGAGGCCGCGATAGCAGCTAACGGCATACGCAGAGATTCCTATTTCTTTCCACCAGGGCCAAAGAGGATGCGCTTTCGTGCAACTACAATAACCGTCTGCCAGTGTAACCACGGTGATCATTATTTCCTGAACTCTTTCCTTGTTCATGACCATGTTATTTATGTATTTATTTATTTATTGACTGCTAGTAATTTATTTAATGTTATTTATTTGAAGTTGTTGCGCGTTACGTGGCATCTTCCTTTCTTTCGTGACGTGCATTTGTTTGACCACATGCTTCTGGTTTTTCTTGTGTCTCACTGATCTCCGAGGTAGCACTTCCTGAACGTCCGATCATTCTTTTGTTTCTTTCAACTAATTACTTGGTGTTTGTGCGTTTAGTAGATGTGGCATACATTTGAGTTTTTTGTTTTTTTTTCCCACATAGTAGTGCCCTTACAGTTAAAAAAATAATAAAAAAAATCCAATATGCCAGTTCGGTCATGACAAGGAATCTGCAAAAGTCAGAATGGAGGTCGAAGACAAGTGAATGCCTTTTAGTACCAGAGTCAGAGTATCTATTTTTGTAACGCCCGTTTCTCACGCTTCGCATGAGGAGACATCTCTAATGTGGTAAATTAGTTTGAGTGGACCCTGTTCTTGAGCACTGATGGACCTGATTAGATTCTTTGCACAAACTCGTAGGATTAGCTTCTTGGATGAGTGAGGGGGCTAATTTTGAAACAATGCTTGGGGATTTAAAAGGAAAAAAAAAAAGATATATATTTTTGTTTTGTTCGTTTAAGTTAATAAAATACTATGTATTGTGACACTCTGATTACATAAAGGTGTACATAATTGTACATGAATGTAAATTGTTGTACAGTGCTTTGGGTATAATATTGTTTTCTACAATATAATTTAGAATACCAATTTTCTCACTATCATTTTTGTTCATTCCTCTTCTAGTATTTGTTACAGTATTGGCTATTTATTTAAGTAACTTGGTGGAACTATTTATTTTTGTGCTGCAAGGGAGCAAGTCTCCTCTCTCTCTCTCTCTCTCTCTCTTTTTTTTATACTTTTATACAGTTTGTATTCTAATACACTTCAATTACAATGTATGTTAAATTATTGTAACATCGAGATGCCTCCTTCCAGACACTGATTGGCCTCAATGTGAAATACGTGCCTTGGTGAAATAAAAACTACAGAATGTGCGAAAGGGATGGATAAGTTGTTTTATTATCATTTTTTTTCATGGACCAAATGTCTTGGGCTGTGTTTGGGATCACTCCAGGTCCACTATTTCGTGATATAAACAGCGAGTTTGCCATTTTATATTTATATTTATTGATATGCTTTTATCTTCTACTTTCGCCCTTTCATAATTTTGCTGCTGTAAATTGGGAATTTCTCCACTGTGAGACAAATAAAGGTTTTTTGATCTGATCTTATTTTGGAGAGCTTTTCAAATGTGTTTAGTGTTATCCCTGTATAGTGTTCTCAATGTATCTATCTCTCAATGTAGGTAACTACAAAAATCTCCCATGAATGTTTGCAGCACCTCATGAGTTACAATGCAAAAATATATTCAGAGATCAATGTGTCATAACACAGATGGACATCAAAAAGTGTGTTAAAAAGTTTTTCCATTCAATGTAAATCACCCCAGAGTATACAACAGTGAACCCAACTCTCTGGAGCCATTGAATATTTTTTTTAACGGAAAGGTTCCAGTGACTATCCCTTCGTTGGATCTATTTTACTCTATTTTTTATTGATTTTTTTTTTCTCGCTGAAACCTTAAGGTTTTATACTAAGACTGCTTCGTGTACATATATCCTGTACATGCCTTTTGTAATCATAGCCAATACTTCAACCTTGGATTCATTCTACTTTGAAAATCTCCCAAACACATGTGGGGAAAATGTGTAATGTTATAAAGCGATGTAACGATGTGATGCTATTATAATTAATCAATGTATTTACCACTGAAGCCCCACCAGCTCAGATGATGTATGATGTAATTATACGAGAGCTATGGCGTAATTAATGGCAGGCCCAAAAGTATTGGAAAACATTTTTTTTTTATTTGACTGGTGTTTGAACGACACTCTATTTCCCACAATTTTAAAAGTCTCTCCGTCGTGACTGGGGAGGAGGAGCGATAGGTTAGGCAGACGCAATTTCCGGTATGCGCACGCATGAGCACTACATATCCCAGAAAGCTGAGCGCTACAGCCGAACGGCAGCGACTTATCGTTTTATCGACAGAAGATAAGAAAAATATGAGCGTTTGATTTATTATTCGTCAACTTTAATAATACATCAGATGCCTACATGAAAGCAGGGGCACATACGAAACGAAAGAAAAATAGAGCACAAACGCGCTCCGTCGGAAGTGCGAACCAAACGGAAAAGCTCATCTGTCCTCTCAAACGACCAATCGCCATCGTTGTTCTTGGAGGGCGGCTTCGGGTGGAGAATGTTGTTAGTCTGTACCGTTTATTGTTAAGGTTGTGTGGATTAGCACTGCGGTATGCATCTCATTCTCATATTCTCAATAATATAGCTTACGAGAGACTTCAAGATACGCGACGAGTTTCGCTCTCGAGCCGATATTCATGCATTTAAATATCGAACATTAAATCGACGCTGTTCTGCTAAGACGAGGGCCAAATGCGGGCTAGTAAGTAACGTTGACTGTTTTGTTGACACTGTAAAGAAAAAAAGACTTAGGAGTTTTGTGTTTATGTTTACCGAGCAAGTTTGCCGTTTGGGTTACGCGAGGACATTTGGTCTGATGCAAGTTGGTGTTTGTGTATGGCTAGCAAGCAATACTATGCTGGAAAATGACAGCGAGCAAAGATAGTGGAGAGTTAAAGCTTCCTAGGCAGGATTGGGGGTGAAACATTGGAAAGGTGATGCTCTTACCCAGATTTTAGTGTGACACTGTTTTTTTTTCTCCCCTCCACGTCAGTTTTGTGTGGAGTTGAATTGGCAGCTGCTGCGTCCGGTGGTGGGACAGGATTCCAACACTATAGCAAGAGCAACAACAACAAAGGATGGAATGGATGAAGTGTAAAGCTATACTCCAAAATTGATCTGCATCCAAGGAACACCCTGACCTGTCATGGCGAATTCTGTTGCCCCTCTGGTGGTCCAAGCAGAACTCTTGGCTCCACAGTCCTCCGCCTCCCTCTCCTGCTCTTACCCAGATTTTAGTGTGACACTGTTTTTTTTTCTCCCCTCCACGTCAGTTTTGTGTGGAGTTGAATTGGCAGCTGCTGCGTCCGGTGGTGGGACAGGATTCCAACACTATAGCAAGAGCAACAACAACAAAGGATGGAATGGATGAAGTGTAAAGCTATACTCCAAAATTGATCTGCATCCAAGGAACACCCTGACCTGTCATGGCGAATTCTGTTGCCCCTCTGGTGGTCCAAGCAGAACTCTTGGCTCCACAGTCCTCCGCCTCCCTCTCCCCTTTCCCATCCCTCCTCGGCTCATGCGAGGATGACCGGGAGAGGGGGGACCTGGTGGAGGGCAACAAGGGTGTGATGGACAATGTGGAAGTGGTTCTGGATATGGAGGCGTCGGCGGAGTCGGCCCAGCACACCGAGCAGTCCGAGCATCCCTTCCAGTGTCTGGACTGCGGCAAAAGCTTCAGGTGGTCATCCCGCCTCACGCACCACCAGAGGAGCCACAACAACGAGAGACCCTATCGCTGCAACCTTTGTCCCAAGGCCTTTAAGGGCTCCTCTGCATTACTCTATCATCAAAGGTACACACATACTTGGCATGAGGGGGAAAAAAATGTTACGATGCATACATCTGCACAATTGAATGAGATCCAATACATGATCAGTATCAAAAGAGGGGACAATAACCAATTAGTTTTGAATAACACTGTCGGAAAGGTTTACAACGTTTATCAATCTGGTGCATTTGGTTCCTGCCTTCAGTGGAGGATTATAAGATGTAATACACCTTTTAATATCTGTATGGTACTACAGCACATGATAGCTGCACAATATTATATTAGAAACACATCAGGAGAATGACGTGTGCCTGTATGCCGCTGCAAACTAAAACCACAGTAATTAATTTACAGGAGTGTACCATATAGTTTAAAATCCTCCTTTGTTTTGTGTGTGTGTGTGAAAATGTTTTTTTAGGTCTCACTCAGGAGAGAAGCCTTACAAATGTCAAGATTGTGGCAAAGCCTTCAAGCGCTCCTCTCTTCTCCAGGTGATGACCTAAACGCTGTTGTATTTGAATGGTTGTCATGATTGTGGTCCTTGGAGACCTAAGTTGGGTTTTTTTGAGGTGGTACTGAAAAGTTTGAGACCCACTGCAAGTTTAGATGCTAACTAAAGATTATACGCTGGCTCCCAATCAGCTGTAGAATAAATTTCAAAGTTCTGCTACTGGTCTATAAATCACTGAATGGCCGAAGACCTCGCTACATTAAAGAAAAGCTCATGGGATATAAAACCACTAGCGTCAGCAGAGTCGGAGACCAGAGTTAAAAGGAAACATGGTGCATCAGTGTTTAGCTGTTATGCCGCATGCAAATGGGGTAGGCTACCAATGGAACTGAAGTTTGCCCCAAGAGTCAATACTTGTTTCACTCATATATACGCAGCACTTGTTTGGGGTAAAAAAAAAAAAAAATCTAATATCTCATCACTTGTTCTCCATCACTAGGTGCATCAGAGTGTCCACACAGGAGTAAGAACATTCTTGTGTCCATATTGCCCGCTGACCTTTAAATGGAGTTCCCATTACCAGTACCACCTGCGCCAGCACACTGGCGAGTGCCCGTACCCGTGCGACACTTGCCCCAAGGCCTTTAAGAACTCGAGCAGTCTACGGCGACACAAGAACGTCCATCTGGGACTCAAACCGTACACCTGCAACGTGTGCAACAAAGCCTTCACTCAGTCCACCAATCTGAGGCAGCACATGAGGATACACACGGGCGAGAGGCCCTACGTGTGTGGCGAGTGCGGACGCAGCTTCACGCACTCGTCCAACCTGGCGCTGCACAAGAACTCGCACTCCGGCTCGGCGGCAGGTGGCAAGGAGGGCAAGGGCGGACAGGATGGGGGGCCGGGGCGCGACCTGGTGGAGGTGGTGGTGGTGGGCTCCGAGGAAGAAGCCACGTCCATGTTAACGGCCATGGTGGGCTACGTAAGCCAGGAAGGGGCCGACGGAGTCGGGGTGGGGATGGAAGAAGTCTTCCTGTCCACTTCGTCATCCAGCCAGGATGCAACCCTGCTCCCCCAGCTCAGCCTCGCCCCGTCGGGGGAGAGCACCGGTGCGTCCCGGGCCATCGGGACGGAAGTCCACCTGAGCACGGACACGGGAGCCAGCCTGTTGCTCTACAGCTGCGGCAGCTGCAACCACACTTTTGCCACGCGGACCGAGCTGGAGGAGCACCAGTCCATTCACATGGCCCCGGGGGAACGCGGCTCTCGGGGGGAAGCGGGAGCGGCGGAGGTCGAGGTGGGGGCCGGCTTGGTCGGGACCGGCCACCTGCTTGCTGACTTTGAGGAGGTGGTGGAGACGACCGTGGCGGCTGAAAGCGGACACACGGCAGAGGTGCTCCTTGGACTTCCAGACCCAGCTGACGGAAGCAATTCGGTAAGCGATTAAAGCAGAGCCTCGGCCACGAACGCGCTATGATATTAGATGCGTACATGCATAGGAAGAAATCAGACACGGGGAACATTCCTGTTTATCGCGGGAGATGCATTCCACACCCACCCGCAGTTGGTGAAAATGGAGAGACCGAGTAAATGCAACCGACTCATTCAAACTTACTAATGCACCTGATCTCACTCCAAAAGAGAGGCCGCGCGTGCCCGCAGCAAGCTGTTCGTCGCTCCCAGTTCAAGTGTACGTGCTGACACAAAATCATAAAATGGTATATTTAACCACCAAAATATCGAACCAAACCGTTCCATTTTGTCTCATGGAAGTCTGCCATACCCGATCAAACGAAAATTGGCATTGATGTTATGGTCATATTAACCTTCAGACAACTGCTACTTGAACACATATGGAGCGGCGACATGCTCGATCGACAACTCCAACTCTGTGCTTGCCGCGTACAGTAAAAACCGATGAAAAATAATGAGTATGCGATGCAGCAGGGCCGCCAACAATCAAGCGTGAGATCACGGGGAACGCTGTATCTGGATCTTCAAGTGACGAACATGTGGTTCAACAGCGCCATGACTTACCACTTTTTGGGCTGTAATTTATGGAATCAAAGGACCAAACCACACACTCACAGTCAAGTAACTCCCAAATCGTGGGCTATCAGCTTTGTGTATTGAAAGTCATGCATAAAGTGTACAAATTTTACAGGAGCCGATCTGAATGTCTCTGTTTGGTTGTATCTCAAGAGTGTGGGCGCCACGCAGGCCCAGTTTGACCTTCTGCAGAGCTTCAGCAAGGTGATTCAGAGCTCCAAGAGTGTTGAGCCAGAAGCTGCGAGCACCTGGGCGGCGCTCTCATGCGGCTACTGCAGCAAGTCTTTCAAGACCAGCGGAGGCCTCAACAGACACGTGTCACTGGTGAGAATGCGTCTTGTTACGCCTCCGCTCCTACCGGTGCCGTACACATCCGAGCACTGCTTGTTGATCGAATCGCGACGGCAATATGCAGCCGTTTCATGACTGGTCCCGGAAATAATCTCTGCTTGCGTTGCACATCCAGATGCACACCCTCTCGTCGCAGTCCCGTTCCCAGTTCAGCTGCTCCGCCTGCGACCGCTCCTTCTCTCTCCTGTCCTCGCTTCTCACCCACCAGCACTCCCACACCCCCGAGCAACGTTTGCTGGCCGAGGCCGAAGCCGAGATAGTGTGCCCCCCTTCCCTCTCCTTGTCTCTTCCGCTGCCCTCCTCTCCTGACAAGCCGCAGGATGGAAAGAGGGAGGCTCACGCCAGCGTCGTAGCCGTGAGCGAGGAGCGGGAGGAAGCGACCGTCAAGCTGGTGAAAAACGCCAGAAAGGGAAGCGGGTGCAAGAGCGCCACCGCGGGCGGTAAGAGCAACATCATGAGCTTCGTTGGCTACACACAATCTCATCAAAGCTATCAAAAATGATGCCATAATACGAAAAGATTGCGAGCTTGCCTTGAGTGAATTGTGTCATACGACCCCCCAAAATAGAAGCGCCTCCCAATACGTTGCACTACACGGCTACAAATTGTGCCAGTCAAAATCGAGACAGCTCTGGCTTTGGGTCTCACTCGGGCATACCTAACGTCGAGGACGGACAAGCGCGTGTGTTGCGAGAATGACTTTGGGGCTCAACGCATTCCGGCACGGATGGAAATTCCCACCGTGCTTTCTTTTCTTTCAAAACAGAGCGGCCGTATCGCTGTTCAGAGTGCGGAAAAGCCTTCAAAGGGTCGTCGGGGCTCAAGTACCACATGAGGGATCACACCGGGGAGAGACCCTACCGCTGCACCGAGTGTGGAAAGAGTTTCAAGAGGTCCTCGCTGCTCTCCATCCACCAGCGGGTAGGGAAGCACCCGAAAAGCCCAACGGATCTGCGGCGCTCGTGTTTCGGCTCATCGGCGCGTTGCAAAGCTATTCCGCTCGTGTTCCAAAGATGCTGTAATGTATGCGCGCGTCCCTTCGCAGGTGCACACGGGCGTGCGGGCGTTCCAGTGCCCTCACTGCGTGCTCACGTTCAAGTGGAGTTCCCATTACCAGTATCACCTGCGGCAGCACACGGGCGAGAGGCCGTACGTGTGTAAGGAGTGCGGCAAGTCCTTCAAGAACACCAGCTGCTTGCGTCGCCACAGTCAGATGCACTCGGGACTGCGGCCGCACGTCTGTGCCATCTGCTCCAAATCCTTCTCGCAGACGTCCAACCTCAAACAGGTCAGCGTTCACGTTCATCTCGGCGCCTTTCAGGTCTCAAGGTCTGCGTTTCGTCGCCAGGTTTGATCGTAGTTCAAAATGAACACAGCCGACGACGACAGGCGACTCTTCAGGGTCCCGCTCGAATTGAACGAGGAATTCATTTGAAAGACAGCCTATTCATCGAGGAGCGTTATTGTCTTGAGTAAACACGTCGACCTGCGGTCTTTCAAGCGTCCACGACTGGCGTTTCACAAAATGCTACCAGAGAAGTGTTAAGTCAGGAAGTCTTGCAACAATTGCAACAATCATGCAAACAAATTTGTGGCGTTACCGTGTCAGCTTTTCACGTTTCGTTAGACATGTGGACTGCCACAAAAACTATCTCAACACGATGCAAATTACATCGATGCGGTCTATCAAATGAAAAGATATAAGTAAACAGAGCCTACCAACTGACCAAAGTGAAAGCTTTGGTTGTTCTTTTTTTTCTCCCAACGGCAGCCTTTTCGATTTGAAAATTGCCTTCGACTACCCTGCGACGTGGATTTGGATTTGATGAATTGGTCATCCCTGTACTGAGCTCTTATTTACCCCCCTCCCTTGAACTCTTTCCCGCAGCATGAACGGACCCACTCCGGCGAAAGACCCTTCCGGTGCTCCCACTGCAACAAGTGCTTCACGCACTCCTCCAACCTCCAGCTCCACCTTCGCACACATTCCCCGCAGAAGGACTTCAAATGCCCGTACTGCTCCAAAGACTTCGTCATGCACTCGTACTTGCAGAGGCACATCCGAACGCACAGCAGCGCCCTCCCGCTGCCCTCCCCCAAAGGCGCGGGTCAGGAGGGCGTGTCCGTGAAGGCCAGCGTGGGAGGGGTTACGACCACCACCACACTTCTCAACCCCATCACCTTGGAATCGTCGGGAAACAACGGGAGCCTGATCGTGTCCCAGCCGGCTCTCAACATCCCCGTCAACACCTCTCAGAACTATTTCATGATTCAGACGGCCAGCGGCTTGCAGCTCATCCCTCTGTCAGGTCCCACGCCGCCTCCGGCCCCTCCGCCGCCGCCACCGCCGCCGTCCCAGCCCCAGAATTTCTACCTGCTCCAGTGCCCCTCGACCAACGGCTCTCAGTCGAGTTTGATTCTGGTGCCCACGGCCAACCAGGCCCGGGTAGCCCCCGAGCCTGCGAGCGTCCCCGTCTTTCAGACCCTGCAAGCATTCAACGGCCAAACACGCGCTCAGGTCACCCAGTTCCCAAGCGTATCGCCACAACACCAGCAGACTCGCTTCATGGTAACCGACAACAATAAGACCGCAACCACCTCTGTCGCGTCCCTCCCGGCTAACTCTTTACTCCGGAGGCCCATTTTAGGAAAGAGCAACCGGACGGCAAGGGGCAGACGCGGCCGCAAGCCAAAATCGGCTCTTCCGAAATCGTCCGAGACGCCGAGCGCAGATGCGACTAACGGTGCCGCGGCCAGCGTGACACAGCCCGATGGTACCGCCACCAATTCGAACTCATCGCCATCTAACTGCGCACTTTTACCAACTGCCGCTCCCGACCAAAGTATCTCGTCTTCCTCCACGGTCGCATCCACACAAGCCAGCGTTTCAACGTCACTTCCTTCAATTCCCAACAATAACACTCAGACGGGACGGAACGAAGTCAATCCAGCGAGCACCTTGACCGAGAAGCAGTTTGTTTTCTGTTTCGACAATGACGGACCGGCGAAGGAGGGGCTGAATGTTGACGAGGGAGGCGAGTCGTACGTCTTGCAGTTTGAGGAAAGGGACGCCTTGTCGGGGGAGGCGGCGGGTGCGGGATTGGACGGGGAGCAAAAGTCACTCGTTCTGCAATTTGAGGCAAACGCGCAAGGAGACGCCGACAAGGGCGAAGGTGAAGGCAAGATGATGTCACTTCTACAGCAGTGGGGCGGCCAGAAGGCGGGTGAGAGTCAAGCAGGAGAAGAGCAGCGCGGCCAGGGGGGCTCCTTCGTCTTCCACTTTCACGCCGAGGAACAGGAGGGCGATCAGTGTCAAGCGGGCTTCAGCCAAGAGCACGACGCCGGCTTGCCACTTTCCTGCGCTTCTGCTCAAGCTCTGGTGCCACTCCACGGTCAGGGGGTGGTGTTCGAAGTCGGCGACGAGAGCAAGATGGAGCATGAAACCGAGGAGGGGATGCAGATGATAGCCTTGATAGAACGCGAGGGGGCCATGATGGGAGAGGACAGCGCAGACTGCAGCAGTGCAACTGGCGCCGGGGGGATCTTCCAACTGGAAGGGGGCGATGAAATTGTCATCATCGAGGTGAGCACCAGTAACTTCATTGAGGAACGGATGGAGAGAGTAGTTGATGCGGACGTTTCCCAGAGGAGCGATGGGAAATTGGAGGGTGAAAATGAAGACGCGAAGGCAAAGTCCCCTCAAGAACACGGTCCCGATGATCCAGAGGTCCAGACATCAGAAGGACATGCAATCGGAAACGGACTTCTACCTAAGAGATGCACCACTATTATTAATTAAAATGCACTGCTCACAAAAAGTTGGGGCAAACGGGCCTACGGTTGAAATGTCAGAATGAATCTAGAATGCACGAGAACCCTTACATGTGAACTTAATTTGACCGTCTCAAAATTCACAAGAGAGCCACAAATTGACCGCTACATTTCTCCGTTCCATTGGTATTTAAGTCTTGCGGTCATGCTTTTCATGTTTTGACACCTTCAGTGGCCACTGAGTGTCATCAGCAGGTTAAAACAGTGTTCAAGAGAGACTGTAGGAGGCACTGAAAAGGAAGACCTGCTTTTCGGCTCCTTGCTATGAAGCAGCAAGTTGTGCAAAGAGTACAAAAAAAAAAAATTGCTTGTAATTTGACTTTACGGCATGTTGGCCCTCAAATTTGAGGTTCATCCTGAAATTACACCCGAAAGCCCAAGATCCCCAATTTTTTTTTGAGTGGCGTATGTGTAAGTTAGAGATGTAGTAACCGTGTCAGTGAATGAATGGACCGGCGCCTCACTTGAATCGCACTTTACGTTCAATCTCCTGGAACTGATAGCATGCACTTAGGGAAAAAAAATGTGTTGCAATGCCACGGTGCCACATGTTAGAAATGTTATACATTCAAAGAGGCTGGGCATCAACTTTTGTATTGTCCTTCATATATGTTAGTTGAAATGACACCGTCATAGGCAGTCATAGTATTGATCAACAAAGGTTTTGTGAATATATGTACATTGTCAATTTGATCACAATGTTAATAGTAGCTTAATAATAAATGTCTTCGTGGGTTTAAGTCATGTATGAGCTGTGCTTGTTTTACCTTTTTGGTTTTTAAGTAAAACCACATAGCAGAACTTGGCGTGAACCGCACTGAACGTCGCATTTGCCATTCACATCGTGTCCACGCATTGCGCAATGTACGTACGCAAACGACGCGAGCCTCCATGTTGGAAACGCTACACCCAAATTAAGACGGGGGGAAGTGTGGATCCAGAATAGCGCGTCTACGAATAATCTATTGCGGTCATCCAATCAAATGTAGCAACACTCCGCGGATTCACCACATAAAATACATGCCCCCGTTTTTTTTTCACCGTTTTTGGGGTCGTACGTGAAAAAGGTAAGTTGGGATGGGGACAATACGGGTTTTGTCTGAATAACAATCACAAAATCACACCGACTGCCGACTTCGCCTTAAATGGTCAGAATATCCACAGTGCAACCCAAAAAAAGCACACAATTGTATCTGGTAGTAGATAGGGTGCATTATTAAATGATGCATAATGAATTTGTACCATAGCGGTAATGTGCTCTTATGGTCAATAATGTACTGTAAAGCATTCTCAATGTGGTGCAATATGTGGTGGTGAGGTGCACTGAACGTGGCTATCACTCATTGCATTCGACATTGTATCCAGTACATATTTCTGTGTCACTAACATGAACGCTTGTTTGTAGAATCTGTGCATATTCATCTCGCGGATGTTGTGTCAAAGTGACTGGAACACGAAATCCAAGTAATCATGGTCAGGTTGGACCTGGATCAAGTCGTGCTGAGGAGAATGAAAGAGGACGACGTTGAGATGGTCAAAGCTCTCATTAAGGTTTGTTCACCAACAACATATATATCTTACAGGCTTATGAGACCGATACAGATACAAGAGCTAAAAAAAAAAAAAACACATTTTGGGGGATTGTGGTTATATTTTACAGTGCTATAGAACTGCACTGCTGATGTGCCAAATATGATAAAAAGCCTCACAATATTTATTGAAAGCGCTTGAATTTCACCAAGCCAAAGGGTTGATCTCATGAAAGTGCAGTAGTACCTAACTTTGTGGCTGTCGTGTGTCTAAATCAAAGCGTGAACTTGTTGCAGGAAGGCTGCGAGGGCATGGAAAACCGCCTCATCCTGCACATCCTCACTCGTCCGCTCTGCCTTTTCATCCTGGCAGTCTTTTCATCCGCCCTGCGCTGCCTCATTCACTCCTTCATCCTGGCCCTCGCCATTCCCGTCTTTCTGCTCATCATCTACCTAAAAATCACCATACCGCGCTCCACGGGGGTTCTGGGCTGCAGCCGCCCCTCCTGGGACTACGCGGGCAGCAGTTTCAGGGGCACGCATGATGACATCCTCCAGAATCCTTACTCTCGGATCAGTGGCAAGAAAGCCGTGACAAAGAAGGTTGGTTGATTGGGTTCACTTGGGACCAAATATGAATTGTAAAATTTACTACAGTGAAAATTTACTAAATCATGTTTCATTGTTTGTGAGACATTTTGAAGGCGGCCTTGTTTGTTGGGTTTTCGTAGTATATTTATTTCAAAAAAAAAAAAAAAAAAAAGATAGCACAGCCAAAAAGTTTTATAATTGCCTTTTGATGACACAAGATGGCAGCAAAACACTACTTTTGTCTAAATGAAGCTCCTCAATTCACTTCAGCGTAGGGTAGTTTCTTGCCACAAAGATGCCACAAAAAGGGAACCAAACAAAACAAAGTTGTGCCTTGAGATACAAGTTTACTTACTTAAGTTACGAGTGACCATACTCGTAACTTACATCACTCTCATGTCAAATCATCTATTGCCATTGAAATGAATGGAAATGCCATTAATACATCCCATACTCCTGAAACAAGGGAAAAAAAGTTTTGTTTTGTTTTTTCTAAATCGCCACCCTCCTAAAATAATGGCTTAAATCATGTTTTCAGGTTTTTTTTTTTCAGAAAACAAGAGGATAAAGAATATATGACTGAGTACCATTATATTGAGTGTCTAAATGCACTGTTGCACATTGTGTTCAGATATCAGCTGCTTAAACAGTTATAGATGTACATCCCATGATATATTAGCATTAGTCTTCATCTCGCCGACTAAAGGTATTTTTCAAAAAAACTCGTAGGTCGAGTCACTTGTATCTCAAAGCGCCATTGCACTTTTGCCTGAAGAAAAAAAAATCCACAAAGTGAACCTGTGAGTCACCAGTTATGCAGGGGAACACAGTCGTGCAGATGATTCTGGAAAATATCTCCCGCAATCAATGAAGATTCACTGTCGTTGATTTTCCCCATTGTCTTATTTAGCCAAGTTGTAGAATCGGAGCCAACGAAAAAGACACAGAAGCATCATCGGAGCCGATCACGCCGGAGAGGGAGCAGGCGGCAGGGCTGGTGTGGGTGGCGGAGAGCGAGGGCGAAATCTTGGGCTGCCTCTTCCGAGAGAGCGAGAAGCGAGCCGGCGTCAGGAGGTTCTGTCGACTGGTGACGGGCAACTGGTACCGCAGGGAGGGCCTGGCGCGCCTCTTCGTCCACAGCCTGGAGCGCAAGGAGAGAGAAACGGGCGCGTTCCGGGTCTACGCGCATGTCCCCTACCCGTCCAAAGTGGGCGAGGTCTTCTTCAGGAAAATGGGTTACCGGCAGCCCGGGGAGGCGGCTGAAGGCGAGGACGCCGATGAGGACGCGCAGCCGGAGACTCCGGAGAGAGGCTTTCTGGGATATCCGCTCACCAAGGTGTTTTACAAAGACTTGTGATGCGCGCGGCCTCCAGACACGAGTGACTTCAAGGGACGCAAAACTGAACGTTTCATTTTACAAAGCAGTGATGCCACCGCTGCTCCATGTTTGGATACTGAAGTCTGCTAAGTATTACGCGGACACATATTTATTACCTCCCACAAGGATGTTGTGCTGGTTCTTTTTTTTTTTTTTTTTTGCATGATGGGTATCTGTTCGACCAAGATGCTTCCTAATGCCATAAAACATTTTAGAAAGTCAAATCTCTACTGGCAATCCAGATCTTGCGCATTTAGCCAAATTATATTTAACATTGAAAATACTATTCAACATGGGGGAGGGTCCATTCCACCAAATTGGTGTCTTTTTTCCAACGTTAAACCTGATAATGCACTCTCCTTGAAATTTTTATTGGCCCATCTTCATTTTTTTGATGTTTTATTGCACTGAACATAATAAGAATTTTAGCGACATGGCATTGACTGTACTAATAGCATGTCGGCACGAAGCATATTACAGTGTAAACATATTTATACAGTGTTGCGCAGGACTTTCTTAAGGAGTTGGGGGGTAGAAAGAGTTCATTTGAAAGTTTGTTCAAATATTTGATTTCATCGATACGCAAATGGCAAATCACTTCCGTTCCGTCAAACCTAAAAATGTCCCATGACATGAGCCAACGACTTTTAATGGATTTACATGTTGATCTGAATCTGTCAAAGTGTGTTTGCTCAATATGGGTGTGTGGTTCTTTGCGTGTTTCCGCACAGTAATGTGAAACTGTACTGTAGATGCGAGGCAAAAATGCACATTCACTGTAATAGGAAGTCTTTGTGGTTTAAGTGAGTGTGCGGAACGGGGTTGCCTTCACGTGCAAGCGCCGCTTCTTAACCACTTAGCACCTGCATAACACCACCTTTGAGTTGCCTAAGTGTTTTTTGTTTTTTTTTGTTTTTGTACTTTTCTTCTGTATGCTTTACACTTTGAGGAATGGTGGGCAAAACTGAAAATGTACTCTACCGTACAGCCACTTGCACAATCCGGTGAGACACGATCGAGTTGTGTGAAAACACTCAAGCTACAACGATAGCACAGATTTGAGACACTATAAGGAAAGTCTTCAGCAACGTGTGAACAAAATAACATTACGGATAGAAATCATTTTAAAAAGGACAAAACATAGCAATTTCATTACTTTTTCTCATTTAGAGTCAGTCTTCTGTCACTTTGTACACAAAATCTGCCAAGTACAAGATGGGCACGCTTACATTCACCCAAAAAAAAGCTGATTTGTTTCCTGCATTCATTTTAGTTTGTAAATTGTGTTCGTCACCATGGTGATTTATTTACAAACTAAGCAATAAGAATACAGCTGAGGATAATTTTAGCTCTGCCCTGCAATTTTCGGAGTTCCCTCCCTGGCCCCGTGCTGGGCTCCTAAATCAAGCGGTTCCCTGACAGATGGATAAACAAAGCCATGACCAGCGTTGGACGCGAGCGTCCACTGGCGCGCGCTTCCCAAATACCACATGACTAGACGAACCTCAAATGGTGTCAGTGAGCTTTGCATCAATCTTCCATCGCTTGCGCACCGCAGCACAGACAGGATGTTTGTACCACGCTAATGTGAGGAGAGACACTTTTACCTCTCATACGTACGACTCAAAATGCTCTTGTGGACAAAAATGTTGGGTTTTTTTCACTCATGTAGACAAATGCTTTTCCATAAAGCATAATTCCCCCCCACCGCTCATATACAGACGTGAAACGCTTTTACATACGCTAGTGGCGCTACAGCCCTACCCCTCCTACACTACGACAACTTTTTTACACGGATAAACGACTTCAGGTTTGTGTGTATGAGTGTTCACTTAATTGCGTGCGAGAGCGTTTCAGTTGTGTGTAGGGATGGGCGAGTACCGATACCAAGTATCGTATCAGGCCATTGCCGGCCTTAGTTTAAGATATCAGCGTTCGCGGAGGCTGCCAATACCGGCCACCGATACTCAAGAGGCAAAAAATTTTAAAAATAATCTGACATTTGAGTAAGTTCTCCTTAGCAGCAGTTGGCAGTTTATCATATGCGTCAGAATGATCTTTCTTCTGTCAAATGAAATAGTATTTATCAAAAGTATGAGTGGTATCGGTACTATCGGCGAGTACTCAAAGAGTAAGCAGTCCGACTAGTATCGGTCTGAAAAAAAGTGACATTGAACATCCTGAGTGGTGTGTATGAGATCCTGACAGCCCCTCATAATCACACCTGACGTGAGAACGCGCGCGCGCACACACACACACACACACACACACAGTGAAACACACAGCCTGCAAACTCCTTGGCACAAGCTGCACTTGGAATCCGCCGTCCTTTAATTATCTTTTGATGAAAAAGCTTCGACACCCAGTACCGCGGCCCTGTTGTTAGTCAATGCTCGGTCAGACTTTTTCGGTGTGTCAAAGCTGCGTTTGTACATTTTTTTTTTCTCGGCCCTCATCGGATTCTTTTCTGCTTTTCTGCATGACTGCAAGAGAGCAGACACCTGTTAGCGGGGCCCCCGTGCCCGCCCGATCTGGGGCTATTATTGTTGTCAGGAAACAGATGTGAGTTCACACGCTGGAAAGAAAGTGTGTTTGTGACTGTGGTCATGTGCGTCTGCACGGTATGGCTGCGCGTGGGCGTGCACGGAAAGAGTGATTCGGCATTTCCTACACTCGGGTTCTGGCCCTGGCGAAGGGTTAAATGCGCTGCAATGTCTGGCCGGAAGATTCTTCTGCATCAGTGTACAGTACACACGAGAAGAGGTGGGAGAAGTGCTCACGCTGATACTTGTGAATAACATCAAAAGAGAGCAAGCAAAAGCACCGGTGAAAGGAAAAGTACGGATTGAACTGCTTGACTCAACTAAACGTTTAAAAGTGTAAAAGCAAAAATGCATTTTAACTGCCAGTCACGTATAATAGCCATTTTGATGACTTCCTACAACCGAAACAAACTTCACTGCTCTTTTATGACTTTACAGTATGTGCGAGTACATTATAAAAAGTCTACACACCCCTGTTTAAATGCCATTTTTGGGGTGATATCGAAACATGAGATCCAAACGATAATTTTTTATTATATTTTTTTAAGAAACACATATGCATCAAATTTGAACTTTGAGAACAAACAGATGAGGATGGCCAGAAAGGTCATTATTTCATTATCCTTGATTGTTGAGGTCCTTCTAAGCGACTTTGAAGCTTTTTTTTTTTTTTTATCCTTTATATAATGATTCGGGCTTCAAAGTACATAATAAAGTATTGAAAAGGCATTCTAATGCAGTCCGGGGCAGAGTACTGGTATTCAGAAAACTGTACTGTGTTGTTCAGGTCAACTTAAAAAAGAAAAACAACAACAAAAAACTTGGGGGAGGGTGGGGGGGGGCAGACGCCTCCTGAAATATCTAAGAAACAGTAAGAAGGTATTTGTACTTCCCACCAATGCTCACAAGATATCGGCCGGAAGTGCATGATGAAATGACCTCGGTCGAATGTGGTCAACATGGCAAGCGGTTACATCCAGTTTAGCTTGGCATTCGATCAACCACTTGGAAGCAGAGCGTGCGCAGGCCAGGCGCGTGAGAGCAAATAAGCAGAGACGCTGGCCTTAGTGCACCGTCTAGTAATGTGGTAGGAAGCGAGGGCGCACGCATGAATCAGACGAAAATCAGGCCGCCGCACAATAATAGGATCAATTAGATACATTTGTTCCAGATGATGCATGGCACGTCGTCTGCGCGAACGGCATGGCCACGCGGAAGGCTAACCTCACGCACAAGTGAAGAGCTCTGAAAAAAAAAAAAAAAAAAACAAGCACCCTGGGAAAGGGTGAATTCCCCCGACCGCAGATCGCACGAGAGTGCGAGGGGCCGTCGTGGGCCGGGCCCGAGCAAAAACAGACAGACGGAGCACCGGCGCTGACGAGGACACACCCTGATTTGGCGAGCAGCGACCATGCCGCCGAGGCTGCGGCCGGGACGTTCAGTCTCGCAGACGTGCCGGGCCACAGTTGACAGTTTGGAAAAACCCAGATGGCAGGGCGAGGTGCTACTGTACGTGCCAGTCCTCTGAGGTCTGGGCATGCTTCTTGGTTTCACCAAATTGTGGTTGCATGTGGGCCCGGAGAAAAGTGTGTGGCGCTCAAAGGAGCCCACTTTGGTTCCAAATGAGAGGATGCACCAAATGAACAAAAGGACTGAGACCCACCTCTGAGACAATTTAGGGGTTGCCTTTGATCACTTGGGAGAAGGCTCTTTTTCTTGTTTGATTTCAGAAAGGCGCGTTCGGTTTGGCTGCCCGTGCAGCTCTAACAGTCAGAGGTCCCGATAGTTTTGCCCATTTTGCTGACTAACAACGCTTCAGGAACACCGAAGGCACAAAATGAGTATGACTTGTGACAAAAAAAAAAAAAAAAAAAACATCCCGCAGCTAAAAGGAGGGTATGGGAGAATCCCATTCTAAGGGCAGGACAAGATCTGAGGGAGTTTAGGCTCATCCCTGAGCTTCGGCTCCATGGAGACCGCTTCGAGGTGCATTTCAGGCCGAGCAGGGAGAAGTTTCTTTTTTTGTAACGCATCACAAGAAACATATATTTAGATGTGTGTGTGTGTGTGTGTGTGTGTGCGTGTGTGTGTGTGTGTGTGTGTGTGCGTGTGTGTGTGTGTGTGTGTGTGTGCGTGTGTGTGTGTGTGTGTGTGTGTGCGTGTGTGTGTGTGTGTGTGTGTGTGTGTGTAGCTACAGATATATTGCATAATCATGTTCAGGAAAATATGCACTTTCATAGATGCACACGTGCAGCTGATGAAGGGTCGTGATTTGTTTTTTCTTTGACGCAAGTATGTAATCGACAATGCATCATCAGAGTGTCACGCCCCTAAAATTGAACATTAAAAAAAAAAAACTTTCTGTCCAACCAGAAGCTGTGTCTGTTGGATGCAGGATGTTTATGATGAGATGGAGGTTCTCAGTTCCCTACTACAAAATGCGCACAAACAAACACGTACACACGTATATACACACACACACACATACACACCCACGCACACTTTCGCTCTCTCTCACTCACCTCCATTGGAAGCCCACACCCCAGCGATTGACAAAGCGCATCTTTCAAAATGATTACAAAACTCGACAGGTGAGCAAAACAAACGCATTTATGTGCGTCGCCGCGTTTCGATCTTCTTATTGCATCCACCCTGCCTTTTAACATTTTGATCTAAACCGTTGATCCTATTCAATATTTTCATTTCATTTTTGTGCGTTGAGGTAAATATGATGTTTGTTGTCATTGAGTCACAATCGAGTCTACTAAGCTGATCCCCAGAGAGTGACGCTTCATTTTCACACTGTTCAAAACTACCTTGAAGCAGTTGAGGTTTCGGTCTTAGTGAGTGAGTCATGACGACCCGCTTTCAACAAAACGAGTGAAAGGGACACCAGAAGAGGTGAACCTTCTTACCGTCCGTTATTTGCTTTTGGTTAACCGCAAGTTTTACACGCGCGCAAAAAAAAAAGAAAAAGAATAATGACAGATGAGCTTTATTGATGGACGTGCATTTCATGAATGCATTCAGTTGTTTATGAAATTGGGGAAAAGCACTTTGCCGATTTATTGCTTTGTGGCAGAGTTCAGAAAAAAAAGGTCAGTTTCTGTATTATAAATAGGCCACCGAGTGTCAAATGAATCCCTTCCCATACTGAAAATATCAATCAAAACTGAACTTTATCCAACTTGTATACTGGACTGAATACTGATGTGAATGACACCTCATGTCCCTTTGCGCCAGTATGTTTTTGCCCCCCAAAAAGTTCATCTACCACTACAAGAACATGCGCTGGGCAAAGGGCCGCAACGAAACCTACCTGTGCTTTGTGGTGAAGAGGCGAGTGGGGCCAAACTCTTTGACCTTTGACTTTGGACACCTCCGTAATCGAAACGGCTGCCACGTAGAGGTGAGTATGGAGGCTTTAAACGATGAGGGCCTGCTAAGAAAAAAAAAAAAAAAAATTGAACTTCAATTACACCCGATGTTCAAGTACACTGAAAACTCCAAGTTGTTCTAAATTCAGAATAAATATTCCGATGATGTCAAGTGGGTTCCTGCGTTACAATATAAAAGCATCATGGAACGCAACAAAAGTTGAAAAAACAAAAATACTGTGTTCCAAATGATTTATATCAGCCTAGTTTTTTTTGACATCAAAGGAGCTCATTTGTGCAGGGGTGTGTAGACTTTTGTTTTCCATTCTCATCTTCGCATCTTTGCATTGACTTGTAGTTGCTGTTTTTACGTTACCTGGGAGTCCTGTGCCCTGGAGTCTGGGGTAGCGGAGAGGCGGGCCAGAGGAGACTCAGCTACTCCATCACTTGGTTCTGCTCCTGGTCTCCCTGCGCAAACTGCTCCGCCGCTCTGTCCCAGTTCCTGAGCCGGATGCCCAACCTTCGGCTCAGGATCTTTGTGGCCCGCCTCTACTTCTGTGACATGGAGGACAGCCATGAGAGAGAGGGCCTGCGACTGCTACAGAAAGCGGGAGTGCAAGTCACAGTCATGAGTTACAAAGGTACTTTCAAATAATCACATACAGTGGACACAATCATTCGACCAAATTTTTGGGGAAAAAGATGCTTTTCTTTTTACCTTTGAAGCCGAGAGTACTGATGCTTTTTGTTCTTTTGCCCTTAGACTACTACTACTGCTGGCAGACCTTTGTGGATCGCAAGAAAAGCCACTTCAAGGCTTGGGAAGACCTTCATCAGAATTCTGTCAGACTGTCCAGGAAACTCAATCGCATCCTGCAGGTACGGCAGCAAATGAACAATTGCCGTGACTGGAAAAGATTAAATTCAAACATGTCTTTTTCAGCCCTGTGAGATGGATTTAAGAGATGCCTTCAAGCTTCTTGGACTGTGAAACGTTATCTCCGGTGGCCCCTCACTACGATTGCTGGACCGAGTCTGCCATAGGAACAAAAACTGCTTTCGTTGTATCAAGGCTTGAAAGAACATTGCTTGCTTGCTTGCTTGTTGTGTCTATGCAGCATGGCCAGACTAAATAAACTATCTACCCTGTTACTTTTGGGTTGTGATAGATGAGTAAATGATGAGAGTCACACTTTTACGTTGCTCTGCAAAAAGGTCATCCTCAATGCTAAATAATCAACACCGAGTGAAATAGCCGAGTAGATCTGAAGTCACTTAAAGAAACACCTTCCATTCACGAGAGGACAGAAATAGGTTGTCCCCTTTATTAGTCTTCACATTTGAAAATAAATCTGGTCCTGTTTTATCTTTATAAGAATTTGTTGTTTTGGACTATTTATTTTGATTTAGGTTAAAATGAAGATGGCATTGAATTTTTGTTGGTATTTTTGTTGCGCTGAATGAAAAATGCAAATTGTTTTGAATATGCCATTATTATCGCACTCGGCCCTTGCAGACCACAATATAAAAACATTTGACTCGATGTAAAATTTCTTGACAGACATCTAGCTTTCTTCATTCGGTTATCCCGCCCTGTATTCTGTGCCTTTTTGTGGTCTGGATGACACTTTACCATCTACCTCTGCAGAGCGACGGCACCAATCACTGCGTATTGATAAAACCGTAACGCGTCTTAGGTGGCGCACAAAAATCGTTCAGTAATAGCCGAGTACAAAAGTCTCGGTGAGGGTGTCAACGGTTAAAGACAAGCACACACACACAACGCCCGCAGCGTCCCAAATTTGCCATGGTAGCACACAATTGGGCCTTAGAAGAAAGAAGGAAAATATGATGCGCTAGTATTCGATATATTACGGCCACGGTTTGGCCGCACGGATTTACCCACACCACCACCACCACCACAGCCGGCGACGGCGCACACCGACGGAAACAAGGCAAGATGGCGACGGAGGGTCAGTTCGAGTACGAGTCTGTCCTCTGCGTCAAACCAGAAGTCAACGTGTACCGAATCCCACCGCGATCATCCAACCGTGCCATCAGGTGAGGCCTGACCGCGGGGGGCACGGTAGCCGCGAGCTGCCACTTAGTGGACGAACCGTTACCTGCTAGCCGACGCAGTGTAGCTTCATGCTACCGGTTAGCGTTGAGCGTCTTTTTTTTTTATTTGTGCTAGATTTATGTATTATTTGTCTGGAGGCAGTATCTCCTAATTTGTTCGAAATACCCAATTAAAAGCATATTTAAGGCTTGTCCACGTTGTTTTTTGGCGCTCCATCCGCGGCCGTCCGTTGACATGCCTGACGAAAAATGATGCTTATCCGATTTGTTGTTTTGGAAGAGCCTGATGAGATACGGTTGGCATTTAAATGAGGCCCTCGTTTTGGTTCAGCACACACCTCATATGGACAGCGTCCTTCATTCAAGGACACTTGAGTTCAATATGTGCCACCTAAATCGGAGCTATTGTCATAAAGTAGTGATACATTTTGGCCCACTCCAGCTGCACAGTAGTGGACATAACACCTGATTGACTCCCGATTGGTTGATGGGCGACATGACAGATGATGCAAATATTCGTCTTTCGGTTGCATGTACGCTGACTCGCATCTTGAGTCACGCTTTTTTTGAACCACTGACGCCACAGATGCGTTCAATTTAGTAGTGAGCGACATTTATAACCTAAATTATAATATTTGTTCCCTGAAGATGTTTTTTCCCCCATAGCGTTTATTTAGGAATGCCCGGCTCCCAGTAAAACACGGATGTTCGATGTGTTTTATCCATTCACCTGTCAGCCTTCATGAGTTAAAATATGAATCCAATATGCCTAGTGGTTGAAATCAGTACTGCTGTCTGATGTAACTTAATCGATATTAGCAAGGGGGCTGTTTCTGAAACCAATCGGATTTCAAATTCATCCTCACAAGTAAGCTGGCCCTCCATCAGATTTTCTGTCCTCCAATTAGTTGATCAAAGCAAGCCCAGTTTGACAAACAACACATATCTTTTGCGATCCGAACACATGAATGCGTTTTGTAACCAGCATTTCTAGTAAGTTAATGTGCTGTAGGTATTATCGCTAACATTTTTTTAATGTTCAAATCCAGACTCACTATTTCCTGTGTACGGTTAACATGTTCTCTTGCGATTGCTTGGGTTTCCTCGAGTTACTCTGGTTTTCTCCCCTATTCCAAAAACATGAATTAGGGTAACTAATACCCAGCGTCGGCTGGGATAGGTTTCAGTTCACCTGCGACCAGTAAGCTGTATTGAAAATAGAAGGATATTTTTGCCATGCTATTAGGTAAATATTGATTTTGAACTGCTCATTGGTGTATTGGTTTTCTGTATGATGGTTTCTGTATTTTGAGGTGGACATTAATTGGTTAAGTCCCCACTGAAGGCCCAGATACTAAGCATAAACGACACACACCCATTCATTGCTGTCTAAATGTTCTCATTCTGTCTTGCGTGTCCCGTCCCAGGGCCGCTGATTGGAAGCTGGATGCTCCCGACTGGTCGGGACGCATGCGAGTGGTGGCTCGCGGGAAAGTCGCCTATGTCAAGCTGGAGGATAAAATATCCGGTGAGAGAGAAGCAGCTATGACTCCGGTATTGTCTGTTGCCCCCCATCACTCAAACGTCTTTTGTTCATTATCCTCTTCCCAGGTGACTCACTTGCTGGGTCCTTCATTTAGATCAGGCATGTCCAGCTTTGGGCCTGGAGGGCCACTGTCCTGCCTGTTTTCTGATTCAGATGATCAGCTCATCAGCCAGCTCTGAGGCAGCATTAGAACCATCCTGATTATTTGAATCACGTGTGTTGCCCCTGGGAGAGCTGGAAAACAGGCAGGACAGCGGCCATTGAGGACCGATTTTCTTGTGCTCTCAAGCACATTCCAAAAACACTCTATCATTGTACAACGTAACAATAGAAAACAAACAAACATATAGTGTATGTTGTGCTTCAGATTGCCGCCAGAACATGAGCCATACAAATTGAAATAATGGATGTTTCTTTTTGGTTCAATGTGCAGGGGAGCTGTTTGCCCAGGCACCAGTGGATGAGTACCCCGGAATCGCAGTGGAAACAGTGAGCGACTCGAGCCGGTACTTTGTACTCCGCATCCAGGATGACAACGGTGTGTGGACTGCGGGGAAAATTGCAATTGAATTCATGTATCCTTTTTACATGGACATTTCTAGTGACACTACTTCCTATACTGAAGTTCATTTAACATCGGGAAGTGACTTTTGATACCTATCTTGACTTGAAGTGCTACCGAAATTTTTTCTCGTTGATATTTGGACTTCTACTCAAGTATCGATTTCAGTCACTTCATACGAGACTGTCCAAATACCATATTTTCACGACCACAAGGCGCAGTGTCAATTATGGCTGCTGTTTCTGTATTAAACACCTCCCCAAGACGCATTGTATTATTTTGGACGCAGGCATGTTATAACGTACGCTACCTTAAAAAAAAAAAAAACTATGGTAGCATGCATGCTGTCCTCAGTTACGTCCGCCTTTCTTCTGTAGAAGCAGCGTGTGCATACACAAAGCAGCCCGCCTTATTCGGCGATCCCGTCCAATTTGGAGACAATTTCGGACTTTTCAGTGCGCCTTTTGGTCGTGAAAATATGGTACAATAGAGGCCGCCCTTCCGTGAAGTAATATGACATTTCTATGACAGGCCGCAGTGCCTTCATCGGGATCGGGTTTGGAGACCGAGGTGATGCCTTTGACTTCAATGTTGCACTGCAGGACCACTTCAAGTATTCAAAACTTAAATCGTCAAAATTTGATTTAAAAAAAAAA